AGATGATACAGAGTTTCTTAAAGTCTTTCTGTCTTGTGTTGAGCTTTTCACTTGTCACAAATTTAGGATTCATTGGATTCACAGGTAGCAGCTAATACAGGGGATATTATTATTATTTGGGTTTTACTAAATTGAAATGGGTAGGGTTAAGATCTGCGTTTCATTCAGGATAGAAGTAATATGATCTAAAATTTCTTTTTTTAATTAAAAACTAAAATAATAGACTTTCTGCCAAAATGAAGTCATATTCAAAGTTACAATAGATTCTAGCTGTCAAGACTGACTGGAGAATGATTGCATTGGAGAGGAGCAACTCTATGAAGACACGTAAAATGATCTACCGGAACAGATACAGAAAAAGAATAGAAAAAAGCCAGTGACAGAAGCAGCACTAAGAATATAATGCAAAGAAGCAAGTAATGCAGAGTGCCTGCTGAAAGATTTGGTTCTATAAACAAATAAAATACATTACTTTTGCATTCTTTATATCTTCATCAGCTGCTGTGATTAAAACTATAAAGAAAGCAGAAGTTTTATGGTCTTTGCAAATAAAAGAACTGTGTCAGAAATGACTTGCTCCATCTTCAGTTTCTCTTCCTAAATGAAACAGCATGTATAAATTTGAATTTTGACTACCTCTTTTGGTCAAAAAAATCAGTGTAACTGCTTATAGCTTGTTTTTCTTGTAAGGATTCACTAGGGAAGGAAAAGTCTAGAGTCAATAACAGACGATTTTCTAAATTCAGTAAGATTAATTTCATGGCTAAACCAGTAGTAGATAAGAGCTGGATGAGTGTGATAATGTCAGCAAGTTACTGGGAGGTATTTCTATCAGTAAGAAAGAAATATGGATAAATTACACTTGTAAGCCTGCCTCTCTGAAGGTACGTTTTTAAAATACATCGTACTATCCCAAAAGGTTAAGTGCATTATTTCGTCATAGGAAGAATGATTCGTTGTAACTGGTTACGGCATAGCTGTTATTCACTAGACACATCATTTTCTTATAAAGATATTTATTAATAATATTAATATTTTTATATATTTTGGCATCCTCTGTGCATATGGAACATTATGCTATATGGAAATAACAAATAGATTTTCTTTAACAGGTACCTAAGATAAGTATATAGCCATATTTATATATGGATGTAAGTCCTGCTAAAATGAAAAAGAAGCATCTCCTTTGAGCTACCTGTAGGAGCTTTAGATTCCCTTCACAGATTAGCTTTTGATATACAAATGTAGTGAGTGGAAAAAAGAGAAATAAATAGAGGGAAGCATCAGTGGGCAATAAGTATGATGCCTATCATATAAATACCATTCATATGTGATGATTAACAAGAAGGCTGCATTGGAGTTCAAACTAAGATGAATATTTAATGTTATGACAGGTGAGCTAATAACGTTAAAGAAAAATTCTAAGGCAAGAGAAATCTGCATATCTTTCTGTAGACTCCTAATTCATAATATTTAATCAGCTATACTGATCAACTAGCTAAACCTTCCAACCAACTGACATTATTCTTTAAGATCCCTTCCAACCCAAACTATTCTATGATTCTATGATTTTAGGATTCTATGATCCATGACAGTTTTATCAATCAGAAAACTCATTTCAACCTGAGCTTTGAACGGTCAGATATTCTTACAACAAAGGCAACATTTATTTCAGGGTAAAACAAGAAAAAGCTGATGAAAGCTTATGTATCTTGTTATGTTTAGCCTCAGAATAGTTTCCCAGTAGATTCCTGAAGATCTCTGCTTAAAAGCGCAAGACTTGTATTATACACTAGTTATAAGAAGATATATGTATAATCCGCTACAGAATTCTTTTATGCGTCTTTCCATTTATCTAAATTTATTGGTAGCACTAAGTTGATTAGAAAAGTTACTAATAAGTTGTGACTCAAACTTCCATGGCACGATCATAAAGCAAATTTAAGCTTAATTTCAAGTCATAAGCTCCTTTAAACAAAGCAATTTCCCATCATGTTCTGCAAAGACAGTTTACGTAGTATTTAAAATCTCAGCAAACCCTCCTCCCTATAATTTGGTTAAATTAATTAAAAAAAAAATACCTATAGTAATATAATCAAAGTTCAATTCAAATTTTCATCTCACAATTTGAATACCTCTGCGTTTTCCTTTTTGAACTGCTTTTTCTGCTTTCTTGGTTCTTTCTTTGTCATATCCGTATTAGACAACATATCTCTGGTTTTGAGTGAATTAGTGGAATCCATTTGATTCTTCACTCAGAAGCATCTGGCATTGGAAGGTGTCTCAGCAAAATATGCCAGCTCACTCAACTCATAGGAAAAAAAGCTGACTAAAAAAAATTCTTATTGCTGATCTGTCTCTTGCCTTGGGAAAAAAAACCACAGCTTGTTGGTTATGAAATCATGGTCTTATTTTTCAGCTTTCTACATCCTATGGGCTGTTTCTATTAAGGTTGCATACTACCCAAACTGAATGGTTTACAATAATGTGTGAATTAGATTGTAGAAATTCAGAGAAGAGTAAAATGAGATTTTTGAATTTTGCAACATTCTGAAGTCATTCAGAGCTGGGTGGAAGGCAGCAATTTTCCACTAGAAAAACACAGCCTAGAAATTTAGTCTCTCCCATCTTTCTCCTGCACAGGTTGCTAAAGATACGGGCAGCTAAACTGGCATAAAACAATGACATTTTCAAGTATAGTTTATTCTAAATCAGTTTTACAGAAACTTTCAGTTTTGCAAACTAGAAATTTAAATTAAAAGCATTTAATTTGTTCTGGCTATGGTCATTTATTATGATTGTTAACATCAAAAGCATATTCAACAAATACGTGGGAAACTGAGGTCTTTGACATTAGCACAAGTCAAAGCCATTGAGTTGCATTGGTTCAAAGAGGTTTAAACACATCATTATTTTTCGGCTGGGAGAATGTTTTATAATGATTATGAAAAACATTTAGAAATACATGTTATGTAAGCTGTTAGCTTTCAACTCTATGAAAATCACTAGTTGTCTTTGAAAACTTAGGTATCTGTATCTTAGCAGGGTTGAGATTTTGTTTTGTGGAACTGATTTCTTCTCAATTTCATCTTATACTGAAAAACAAAGCCAACCTATTTTGGGGTGTATGCAGCTGCTACTTCATTTTATTTTATATAACTAAATAAGGTTCTGTTATTTCACGTGACTAATATATTGGTAAGAGGAGTTAAGCAGTAATAACTTTTTGTAGTAGTACAATTTACTTCTGATTAATATTTAGTAAATAATCGAATTCTAATTGTATACTGAGTGCATTTTGAATTAAATAGGCATATTCCATAGTTTGCAAACATGCTTGAGTCTTTTTTTAATGGCTACATGTAATTCAGGAAGACAGTGAAATGTCATTATGCAGAGGAAGATCAGATTTCAGTATCTGTAAGTATTACTATTGTTTGAAATACTATTCAGATACAGTTTACAGTTTGCTTTGATTAATACTATTTGTTACTGTGAACTTGAATTACTTGGAAATTATTGTAACCGTGTTTTTGTTTATTTTTAAGGAAACGAAGTATTGAATCATGATGAACAGTGTTCTCTCTTAGAACAGATAAATAACAAACAGCCTAGTCTGATTGAAATAATCTTCACAGTATTGTCTTACTGCACTTTATCACCCAAATCTCTTGGCATTGCTTTTGAGACCTACATGGAAAAAGAGCAGTTGTGGAATTGCTTATACAATATGACAGGTATTTAATTTATTAATAAGTATTTAAAATCTGATGTTAAATCTTGTCAGTTTTCAGACATGTGGTGCATATTATTTTTACTTTAATAAATCAGATTAAATGATGGTAGCTTACTTCAAAATTATAGTTTAATTGAAGTGTTTCGAGCAATCAGGTCACCGTAGGAGTGGTGAAAATTTTGAAGAAAGCCTATAGACTCTGCTGTCAACAGGCAGACAGGCTCCTAATTTTCCATGGAGAGGGAGAGCTGCCCTCACAATTAGAGCAACTAATGCTGCCCCCGAGGAAAAGCAATATTCAACCAGAATAGAGAGGTGAGGTTTAGAAGGATGATCTTGCAAATGATGGCTAAAATGCAGGAAAGCTCAAAAGAAGAGAAGGGAAGAAAATGGGAGAATGTAAGAGGGGAAATAGAATTACGAATATCACAAAATAGAAAACAATGGTGGTAAAAGTGCTCAGGTATTCCTCAGAGAAAAATGGGATTGCAAAAAATAGAACTCTAAGGTGTAACAGGAAGAAAAACACAGAAATATTGCATGGAAGCTTCCAGAAGGGCCATGCAGAGAAGAATAAAACTTAGATCAGCAAAAAGTACAGACAAGCAAAAGTATAAGCAAAGGACCTGATATGTCAAAGGACATCTCTGCTATGTCCTGCAGCACTCTGCCTGACCACTGCTGCTCCATGGCAATGGAGAAACTGCAATTCTCTGTGGTATTAAGAATGTGGAGAAGATTGATACTTGTTGTAATGTCAATAGCTGTATTTAGGATGGTCTATTTTCAACATGCAATCTCTGATAACACGCTACGTCTCTGTTGATCACTATTATTTGTATGCATTTTTGCTTCCAAAATATCTTTTTTTCCTTTGCTGTTCTCTAGTGTAACAGTTTGGGTATCTAATAAACGCAACTTCATTAATACTATGAAGACAAAGAAGTAGAAAAAAATAGGTATATCCGTTTGCCTCATTGATGTCTAACAAGTAATTAAATGTACTCCATATAAAAAGGAAGGCATTTGTCAGCTTAAATTAAATTTTTAGAAATATATTCATGGATAAATGAGGATGAAGGAAATAAACTGTATTTTTTGTCAGTACTGTATTAAGATGGTACAAGATGCTACATTGTTTTGCTTTATACTCTTTCTTTAATTTGTAACAGACCAATAGGTCTAAGTTATTATGAATCATAATGTTTTACTTTTATTTCCATAAGAATTCTGAAACACTTCTTTCTGAAACAGATTTACACAAATGGCTACACTTAGTGAATATTTAATAATTCTTCCTTCTGAAGTTTCCAGTTGTGGTGAGTCGGAGCCAGAGGTTATCAGATGCTTGAAGTTGACTTTGATTAATTCAGTCAAGGGTATAGTGAAGCAGATAATTTCTTTGATGCACTCATGGGAAGCAACAGAGAACTATGGAACGTACCAGCACAAGCAAATAGTTCCTGAAAGTTTACTGAAAACGGTTCCGAAGGAATGGAATTACACTCCTCGGGAAATGAAGAGAAAAGAATCTGGAAAATGTGGGTGAAATTTATACTGTTTCATAAATTTGTCATAAAAGCTTGTTACCCTTTTAATGAGTATATATCAAAATTGAACTGCTATAATTCATGAGCATTGCAGTTTGACAATGAACAAAACAATTTCCAAGCATCCTGTGGGTTTTTTTAAGTACTTAGCGTTAAAATTCAGTACCTCATTCTTGAATCTTACACCCATGCATACACAAACAAGCTTTTTAAAATAACCAGTATTGTAGTACTGATAATAATAGTACTGAAAATGTTTTTAGCATCTGGCAGTAGTAAGGTGGGATTAAAGGCAGAGTAAAGCATGTCTGTTTTTGTCGTAATGGCTGTAACCATTTCTTCTCTTAGTTATCAGGACTGTTTAAATTTAAATACACAGTGTTCTCTGAAATGATAACAACTTATTCATCCCAACTTTACAACAGCAATTTATGTTTGAATAGCACTGAAACTGGTATGGAATTTGCTACTGCTTGGTTGTTGAAACAGTTACTCAAGAAAGAGGAAATAACATGTAATAGGAGATGTTTTGAAGGTGATTGGATGTAAAGATGATTTCTGGTATATACTTTCATAGCCTACAGTGCCTAAAGCCTCCATCATTTCAAAAGACTAACTTTTAGAAACATTTCACCATAAATTTATTGCCACCAAATATTACCTGATTATTTTCAATACAGTAGTATCACTGTATTATATTCTGGCATGAAGTTTTTAATATGTAGGTTGTGGGAAAGCCAGGGCATCAATCTATTCTTTCTTTCCATGTATCTTCTCTTCACCATCTTGAAGCACATTTAGGCAGCAGTGCGCTCACTGCACTCTCACTGCAATCTCACTTCAGTGTAGAACTTGTGTGGCTATTTTAGGCTATTGCTAAGCTGAGAGGTAAGACTCAGATTTAGTGACAAATTAAATTGGCCATGTGACACCTAGAACAGATCTGGCTTTTTTTTTTTTTTTTTTTTAATTTTAAAACAAGTTGAGAGTACAGGTGCAATGAGTCAGGGGTTTCTTGGTTCGCTTGGGTTTTGTTTTGGTGGGTTTTTAAATCTTGACTCCGTATTGTGGTTCACCTTTTGGTATATTTTTTCATTTTAGATATGTCTTGGTTTTTGAGCATCATATTTTCTGTAGTTACTTCTATAGCTACTTTTAACATCTGGAATGTTTAAAATGCAGTGCTATATAGTGTGCATGCTTATAAGAAAGTTGATAAACTGAAATTTTGTAGGTTTGAACATTGATGGAAAACTAAAGATTATTAATGTATGTAATATCTTGAGACATTTAGTGCAATGCTCCACTTGTGAAGTTGAAAAAATACTACACTACAATTTTTAGGACAACTTTTTTACCATTCAGAATACCTGGGTGTTTCTTTTTCATTTTTTCTGTAATAACTGTGCACAGCAGGACTAATTGTTAAGAGACTGACAGTCTGAATTCTAAATTTTCTAGGTTCTCTGTTTTTAACTCATGTTGTTTAGATTTTGTGGGATTTCTATGGAGGAAGCACAACAGAAGCCAAGCTGTAGTGTTGAGTACTTAAGCTTTTTACCCATTTTCAGTACAAAAGAAAGTTAGAAATTATCATACAACATTCAGAAGCATGCTGTGATAGAGCTAGAATGTTAATGTTAATCATATCTTCTTTTCTTTTTTTAAGGCTTCACAAGGCTTGCAGCTCAGGCAGTATCTATTGTAATCAGCAAGTTACCTACAGTGATTGCATGTTTGCCTCCCCCAATTAAGTACTTCTTTTTTCTGGCTGAGAGAAAAATGTCAAGAAACTTTGCTGAATTGAAGAAAGCTGGTCTGCTTGTCTGGAACTTGATTGTAATTATATGTCGGATATTTGAGGATGGAAATACTGCAGAACTTTTAACAGGTGCAACACTTGACAGATGGAGCAAAGAAAAACTCAGTTTAGTTCGTGTGTGCTTAGAAAGTATTATGGGAAAACAGAAAAGTGGTCCTAAGCAAGTGACCCAGAAGGTTATACAAAGCATTGAACAGCAAAGACCAAACTGGATTGAAAGCCAGTTGCTAAAGGCAAGAAAATTGAGCACAGACTGGTAAGAATGTGGTATTTTTCAAATGCTGTTGTTTGTTCTTTATTTTACTGGATTATTGGCATGTTTATGGCTATTGTTCAGTTTAAAAAAAAAAAAGATGAACACTGATCTTATATGAAATGGATTAATTCTTAATATTAATGGCTTTATAGCATGTTTTTGCAACTTAATTGCATTGTTGAAACCATGGTTGTTTCATCAGAACAGTGTCTTCAAGATTTCATATTTTCGTGATGAACCAAAAATGTGGACAATTTAGTTGGTATGTCTTTCAGAATGTGAACAGGTACACTGACTAGAAGGCATCACCATATATTTATATATTAATTTTGCTATGGTGATTAAATTAAGAGGGACTATGAAAAGCTTTCAGTGTTCATCTGTGATTAAAAAGTATCATTTTAAAACATAACAAACCCTGAGGGCAAGTAGGATATATCAAAACAGGACAAGGAGAGTACCCTGCTGTGCCTTTCTGAGGAAATATCAACCTTCCCTGCAGATTTGACATTAAGGTCCGAGTGTTTTAAATCCTTATAATGATTTTTCAGGGAGTTGTGTACATGTCAGTGTGTTCCTAGTCCAGTCTGTTTTAATGTTGAAGTTGTGTACCATTCTGTAAAAATACTATTTATCGGCTTTCCAATATTAGATTTATTGGAGTTACATGACTTACTGAATTAAATCGTTGACTACCGAAAGTAAGATTGCTTTTTTTTAAAATTAATATTCTTGAAGGTTGCAGTCGTTGCTATCCTGACAATAATTGTCCATATAAACAAAGGATATAGTGATTGTAGGTCGGAATCATTGATATCGGTGAACAGACTTTGATGCAGTGCTTTAAGGGACAGTATCCTGTTTCTACGAGTAGTCAGTTAACATGAGTAGTACTAAGCAGTAATAGTGTCACATGAATGCTCGTTGACATTGACCTTTTTAATCTTTACATTTCCATTTAATACTCATTTACAAGCTCTAATCCAATGATTAGAAGATTGAAGCCAGATGCTAGTGACTGAGAGAGTCATAGAATAAAAAACCCATAATGATAATGTGTAAATTGATACTTAACAGAATGGTTCCATAATACAATTTCTAATGTCACTGAGAGAATAGGTATTTCTTTAAAAAGTACAAATGCCGGATAAGACAATATTGTGGATAACCTCTAAAAACTAAAACTTTAGTATTTGCACTTCTTCTGAAGCTGAGTATTTTAAATTGATATACTACTCTATTTTATTTTCTAATGTACTGCAAAAATGCCGTATTATCCATCAGGTATCAGACTGTGGGGAATGAATGTGGGAAAATGTTTTCTATATGTGTACAGTGTCAACCAAAGTGAGAAATAGTTTGTGACTAGGGCTCCTAATTTTAAGCTTAAGAAACTGAAGAATGCATTACCTGCTCTCCAAGTGAGTAATTATACGATGCAGTTATGAAACTAAGTTCCCTGACCAGTGGGATTTCTGCAATAGAAGTCTAGCATAAATGTTATTTTTCCATTTTATGTTCAAATATCATGAGTCAATTTCTGGGGGGAAAAAAAAAATCGAGTTAATAAATGGCTGAGATATGCAATGTAGAGATAAAATATTATTATAAATGCAAATTATAAAACTAATATATTAAAGCTGAAATTAAAATATCAGTTAAACTAAGTAGCAGTCACATATCACTAAACTAAAAGCAGATCTTTCAAGAGGAGACTTGTGATGTTTACGTGATTTGTTTGAAATAGGAATGATTATATTTGAAAATCTAGGTTGGTGTAAAATTATGTTTTGTGTAACATTTTCATAATTAAAGGATTTTGTGGGTAACAATGCACATGCATTTATATATATATTCATATTTATAAATGTTTATAGACTTTTAATGGATATAGTATGTGGAAGAAAATAAAAACCATAAATTACAAAAATTTATTTGGGATTCACCTACACAGTTGTGGAAAAATCTTTGAAGTGCACTGGATTTTTCTAAGCAAAAGTCTTGCTTGATTTGATGTTATGTTATTGTTATCAGTACTGCTAGCAACATAAAAAATCTAAATATTATATAGGTTCTTCCATTGTGGCATACAAATTTAACTTAGTTTTTACGAAAATTAAAAAAAAAAAATCTTCACTGAAAGGGTCAGTAAGCGGCAGTTGTATGCATTGCCAGTCTTGTGTACTGCCTGAAAGCATTACTATTCATCAAAATAACCTTCACTTTATGGTAGCACCAGAGCTGTAAACAGTCACGTTAGATTCTGAAGAACACGCGTCCCGAGAAGAAAAGAAATGTATGTCTTTGCAAAGTAATTTGTCGAGTTGAAGATTATTGTTTTTCATCATGGTGACCCTGACTTGGCTGGCTGGGTGCATATATAGATTAAGATGAATGCAGTTATTCCTTGGCTGAGGTCTGCCTCTTTCAGGGCACATTCTTCCTAATGACATGATTGATAGGCAGTCCCAAATCCAGAGAGGAACTCATTAATCATAGCACTGACTGAATCCAATCATCTGCTTCACCTGCACAGTGACGGACAGGAAAGGATACAATTTGGGCGCTGACACTGATACACTCCTTTGTCAGAGGTCCTCAACTTCTCAATGTCAGTTGCTAAGAAGTTTGACAAGAAATTCAGGTTGTATCTATATGTGGCATCAAAAGATCAGCCTTAAGTGTGCTTTAATTTTAAAGATCAATTTCTTTTAAGCTTTTCTGTGAAATACACCATAATAACAGAGTATCACTTACTTCCATTCAGCAAAGGACAAAATTATAGTTTATATTTTGAAACTACTTGCTCTGTAGGACATTCTGAAGCTGCATGTGGAAGCAATATCAGCTTTAATGTCCAGCATCTGTGTAGCATTTGAGTGAGCCTGCAGGTCAAACAGCAACTTTCAGCAGAACTACCTTTGTAATCGTGGCACACTTTCAACAGCAAACTGCAACTTACAGCTGACCGTACCAAAGTATTTTTGGGTCTTTCGGTTTCACTTCTAAAAATTAAAATATTGCTTTTTTTTTTAATTCAGAATGCTTCTTTGGTAGGTTTTAAATTAATCCAATAATGACTGTAGAAGGGATAATATATTCCTGTCAGTCTTGTGACTTCTTGATACATCTGTGTCAAGGTACCAACGTGTATCTCTGCTGCAGCTCTAATATTTGAGGAAAAGAATTAGTTTTAGTACTTTTTTCCCTCGATACTTTATCAATGTACAATACTAAGCAAGTACAGAGCTGGTAACTTACGTTTGCATGCAGAGAGAGCAGTCGAACAATGGTCAGAGTTTTGAATGCTATTTTTCAAGTCATTTGGGCCTGTCTCCTTCAGATTTTTTTGTAGCAGTTTCGCACAAATACTTTTAAGAAGAAAAACAAGGAACAGTACAGGGCAAGAAGTGCAACAAGTGGCAAATAGGTACCTTTGAAATGGTTACCACCATACCAGTGGGAAGAAAAAGACTTCAATTTAAAAGTTCTAACCTATACTTAGAGTAATGGCTACCTTTCTGACATGTTAATTAGGCTTTAATATGTGCAGCGACAGGCAAAGAAAAATGTACAAAAGATCGAATGCAAATGCCATTTCTAGTAGCAAAGATGCTTCTCTAGTGGAAAAGAAAATAAAAAAATATTTGCTCCTTGTATGTCCTTAGAGTAAAGAATATTTTATGTTTTCATCGTTCAGATTTAAATCATTAAAATTTGTATAATAAAAAAATGTTATTTAGCATTTATTATGTATTTGTAGAAAGGCTTCAGACATGTATATACAGCAACATTTGGTTTGTGCAAGCCAAATCTTAGGTTTTTTTAACATGTAGTTTTAGCTGACTTTGTATTAATATTTTGATTTTTAGAAATGTAACTTAAGAATATTCTTATCTTTTCTGTATTCTAGTGCCTTAGTCACAGTAGAAGGTGCAACGTTAGAGGAAGGAGATATTGCACTTGGATTCACTGAGCAGAAAATAAACATGATGGTCCTGGATATCTGCCACAAACCAGGTGGCAGCGAGTACCTGAGGCAAATTTATCACATCATCCGGCTCAATGAGGTAGGGAAACGGCCTTTTTACCGAGCAATTAGGTGTGTACTGGCCTGAGGCAGCGTCTGCTGGCAGCTAAGGGTTAGTCAAGGAGGTGATAATGCTTCTTAAAGTCAATATGAAATCCTATATTGTATTGTAATAGAATCCATTCAGTTTAGGCTTTTCTGCATTTGTACAGAAAAGATTACTTTATGGGAAACAATGTAGATTTTATTTATGTACTTAAACAGTAGTATGGCTCATAAACTTCCTTCAGATTCATATTGTAGACCATAAATACATTTTAGGAGTTTGAACACAGTAAAAAAAAAAAAAAATTAAAAAAAAAATCAGCAAGGCTATTGAAAAATTGACTGTTATAGGAAGTAAAATTAAATATGGTAAATCAATTCTCCTGATTTAAAAAACAAACAAACCAACACTACGGCTGTGCTGAGGAAGTAAACACATCCACATGAAGACCTTACTTAATCTAGATAACTCTGTTCAGTTAAAGTGCTTTCGAAATTACAGTAAACAAATTCAGTTTTGTTTGCTGCACATGGAATTTGGGCGATGTAAAAGAATTATCTCATTATTTCTAAGGCTGTACTAAATTGCCACAAGTTACCAAAAGCGTTCTGATTTTATACACTGAAATAAACACAGGTTTGCTTAAACTGTATGATAACACAGATCTACGCAGCTTAATTAAGAAAGTTCTGTTTATTAGCTTTAATTACTACATTACTATTCTTTGAATGCATAAGCAGGTGCTGTTAAGATCATTGCAAGTGTACGGAAGTGTTTATAATAAAATGCAAAATAGTGCAAATACAGGCATAGGCCAAGATGTTTCTTTTAAAAAAATTTGATAGCAAAAGAAACGATTAGGCAGCTATGTCTGTGTGAAGGCAACAGAGAGCAGCTCAGTACTGGCACTGTGCTTCTGAAAATGAGATCAACTGTTTAGTTCCTAAGTATAGGCTTAGAAGCAACCCTTATGCATCTGCATTTGGAAGCTTTAGAAGCAATGTAAGCATGTATGTAGAGATGGCAACCTAATATTAATACAATACAGAATCTTTTCAAGTTTCATCTCAAACAATTAAATGGTTCAGGAAGTGAAGTGAAAATTATTACTGTAATACAGTTCAAAGAAAACCTTTTCACCTGGAGCACATTCAGGATTACTCTAAGTATAACAGAGTGAGGAAAAGATGATGAGCCAGACCTCCAAAAATAGCATATGATCTAGTAGTTAGGGCAGTCACCTAGGGGACAGGATATGCAGGCTCAAATCTTTATTCCACCTGGTTTAGACCAGGGAATTAATCTGCATCTCCCACATCCAAATGAACTCCCCAGACTGCTAGACCATTAGCTACCAGCATGGAACTCTGTCCTTTTCCCCTGTTGGAGTTGTTTCGCCTTGTAGAAATCGCTGTAAAAATCCATTCTGTAACTTTGAGGGTCAAAAATAGAATCCTACTCTAGCTGAAGGAGTAGAATGCCCATATCAGGTTCTGGAGACCCTGATCCAAGATCTGACTCCTGAGAGTATTCAGTTATTTATACAAAGTGGAGCAGCTCCAATAGGAGGTAAGAGGCTGAGAGAATTAGGTGGAAGAGGGACTTTAGCCTGACTTTCCACATCCCAGGTGTCTCTCCTTGAATTTCTGCAGCTAGTAAGAGCTTTGTTAAATATAGAACATTTCTCAGTGGAAAAAACTGTCTTGTTTTTAAAAAAAGAAGAAAAATCCTGACCAGCTTGACTCACAGAAGGACTTAACCCTGTTACTTCAAATTGCCTTTAAAATCGCTACAAAACATTTTAATGCTTAGCATGGTATTATGATAATGCACTTTTCTATATTATTTTTCATAACTTAGATTATGTTTAATGTGCCTGACTACCCAGAAATAGATTTGATTGTCTGTTCAAAGGTCCATCCTTTTGTTTGGAGACTCCTTGGACTATCAAGGGATCATGTTCTTAAAATTAGTTTGGAGATCTTTATGCTACACTGCTTAATAATTGCGTGTGATTAGAGAACAAAATGATGAGACAGAAAATGGTTGTTCTCAATAATTTTCCTTAGAAAAGCAGGGGAAAAGGGATATAGATTCTTGGAAGCTGTACTTGGAAATAGAGCTATGATTTTATAAAGATCTATAATAGATACTGTAGAACTCAAAACAACCTATAGTCCTTCATGTATTTATCGAAAAGAGTAATAATTTTTAAAAGCATTTTTTACTAATGGCTACCAAAGAGAAACCAACTCTCCTGAGGTGTCAGGCTCAATAATTTTCTGTCTATTTGGTTTCATGCCCAGTCATTGATAGTGAGGATATAGCTCACATGTTTACAAACGTGATTTCATTTCTCTTTCTCTTTTCACATTTTTGAAACATGACCCTTTCAAGGTCTCCAATATGTACTATACTAAAGAGTTCATTTACCACTGTTGAATAACTCTCTTTGTCAAAACATAAATCCACAGTATTCCAAAGACAGAAAAACGCCTGTACTGGGAGGTGAGCTGTGTACTACTCAGAATGTTCAAATCCTAGCAAGCATGGACAAAGATTTCCAATATCTCTACTGAAAAACCAACAGAATCTGCTTCTGCTGGCTTTGTGACACCCAGAGGGCTGGGTTGCTTTGGAGCTGTCTACAGATTTTGTGAAAAAGTGTGCATGGAAAGCAGTACATTTACGAAAAATTATTGAATGTATAGAAATAGCTTTTAAATAACCCCCTTTACCACGACTTTAAAGTCTTTGTTGTGGCATGAAGTCATGAGTGAATGGGAAAAAAACCCAGACATTTTTGTAGGGTGAAAAAAAATAGGTAAGAGACGGTGTGTTTTCATAGCTGGATTATGCTATTGTCTTAAAACAAAAAAGCTCTGACTTCTTTTTTTTTTTTTTTTTTTTTAATACACTTAGATGATTTCGCGACTGTCTTAAGCAGTCTCAACAATTGGCTGCAACCCTCAGAGAGAGAGAGTCCTGCTCTTTCTCTTGCCCTTGTGCTTTCCCACTCTTAGGCCCCCCTTTGTACTAGTACGAGAAATCGTGTGGCTTGTTTATCTGGCTGAAACCTTTCTTTTTTCTGGCTGATTTCACAACATATGCTAGTGCCAACACAAGGGGGAAACAGCTACAGTCTATGTGGATTGGGAGGGAACTTGTGCCTTTCAGGCCAGACCACAGTTGGATCAGTTTAAACCGATGATGAAATTATTCTTTTAGAAAGACCCACTGAGGAGCACAGGGTGCCTTGGCAGGTAGTTTACATGTTCCCTCACCTGCATCTGAAAATTTTTAGCATCTCAGTAGTACTGCAAAGTGAGAGAAGGGTTTGCATCCACCCATCTTAATGAAGACTCACCTTGAGGTCTTGCTCAATGTTATGGCAATCGTATCATTATGGACTTCATTTTAATAAAAATAAACTGTTTAATCACAGTAGTCCTTCCAGCAAATAGATCTGTAAATGTTTCATTATCTAGCCCTTCGTAAAATGGTTCTATTTAATCAAAACACTTTATTGGCATGCAGTGGTGATTTATTTACATAGTAGTTTAAGAAGTGAAAACAGAAAAGATTGTGGCCAAAATAATCATGCGTCTGTTACAGTATAGTTTCTAAAATTGCCATGTAAATCATAAATGACTTCTAGTCTTTGAATGCTTAAACAATTAAAAATAGCTTCAAAGAGTGGGAGAATATTTATTTCCTGTGTTTAAACAACTGGTTTGAACAGGTTCATCAAGCAATTAATTTATAGTCATGTAGTAACTATTTAATGCTGCCCAAAAAATAACTTTAAATATTTGTGTATACTTTATCATGTAAAAGAAATCATATAATAGCCATCATACATTAGAACAGCTCATAGAAAACATTTCTTTTTCGCTTCCACGTATACCTAACATATATATATTAAATGAGAACTGATAAACATAATTTGATAACAATTTCAAAACAATAGCTTAGGTTATTCTGATTTGCTTCAGTTGGATGGATGTTCATGGAGGTTATTGTTTGTTGTAAAATGGTGTTACTCTTAAAAAGGTTTCTATTTTGTAAGAGATTACTTATTCTCTCCTTTAAGGAACTTCTATCAAGCACACTGTAAAGTTATGCTTGAAATTTAGGCAAGTTTCACTTAGAAAGCTAGGTGGCACATGCTGTTTTGTGGTTGTTTTTTCTTCTAAAAGGAATATTTGAAAGAGCAGCTGTCTTGTGAGAATTCTTCTGAAGATGGTGTTACCTCCAGCCAATGCCTGCCTTTGACACTGAAGGGCAGAGAAGAGCAGCCTGTCTTCAATCCTTTCCAGGTGTACAGACAATCTTGTGCGAGAGTGTTCAATCAGGTTTGTGAAAATCTGAAACCTTGGTTATAGTATAATTTTTACGTGTCGATCTTATTATGATCATGATAGTGACAGAGACTGAAATTATGAAAGCGGAATTAATTACATACGTTCACATTTGATGAAGTGCAAAGGAATATTATTACTCAGGAATCTAATGAGGGCACCCTCTACAACAGCATGATGTTCAAAAAGCCATTATTGTCCTTTTCTTTAATCAGAATTATTGCATGTAAAAGCAATTTGCATTTACTTAGACTTACTGTGTTAGTTCAGTATAGTGAAGGAAAGCCCATTAGTAGCAGTGACATTTATTACATCTGTGTAATGGTACATAGGGCTAGTCTTAGTCCTTTGAAAAATGATGGCAAAACTCCAAGTGCACATTTAGAAACTTCCTGATGAGTCTTTCACAGGAATGTTGAAAGTAAAATAAAGGATGCTTTGGAAATACAGAGATATAACAGAACAGTGATAATAAGCAGGGGAAAAACACGAAAAAATGAAAGCATCCATTTCTCTGTTTTTCATTAAGCCATGTTAGTGGTATGTAAAGGATTGTGATTTACTTACAGAAATTAGTTTCCTGATAATGTAACAGTTAAAGAAAATAGATCTAGTTGCCTAAACCTCTGCTAGAGCACCACATGACCAATTAAATACACAAAATG